TATTTATTATTTATTTAGTTCTCATGTCGAGGCTTTAGAGCAGAGTTGCTTTAGCTGAGCCTAAGAATCTAAAAACTTTATCTTTTGATCTTTTTTTTTTAACTTCATCTTTCTGTCACGTTTTCCAGATCACCAGTAAACAGAAGCTTAAACCGGAAGAAGCATTTATTAAAACCAATCTAGATATACTGATTCTGGAAGCAGCTGCTGCAGGCAAGAGAGTAAAACTAAAAAACTATTAAAGAGTGTTAAAATCAAAGCAGAGCCTGAATGATTGTCTGTTCACATTTGACAGAAGTTCAGTTAAATACAATACAATACAATACAGTTTTATTTATGTAGCACATTGAAAAACCCGAAGGCACACCAAAGTGCTTCACAGTAATATGGAGAGTCAACATAAGTCAATAACAGGGTACAAATCAGGCACTAGCACAGACAGGATAGAGGCACTAACAGACCAGGAGAGTTAGATAAATATAAAATTCGCTTAGAAAACAAAAACAACAGTAAAATTAATAATAAAATATTAAAATTAATAAAATTTAATAAAAGATTTAAAAGTTTAAAATTTAAAAGATTTAAAAGGTATTAACTGGTCGGGAAAGCCAAGTCAAATAGATATGCTTTTAATCTTGATTTAAAGGACTGGATAGAGTCCGAGGCTCGAATAGAAGCAGGGAGGCTGTTCCAAAGGTTGGGTGCAGCTGAAGCAAAGGCACGATCGCCTCTGGTCTTCAGTCTAAACTTAGGTTGGGCCAGGAGTAACTGACCTGATGATCTTAATGCACGACAAGGAGTGTACAGATTGAGGTCAGTGAGGTGGCTGGGTGAAATGTTATTCAGGATTTTAAAAGTGAGTAGCAAGATTTTGAACTCAATGCGATATTTGATTGGTAACCAGTGTAGATCAACAAGAGCCGGAGTAATAGGGTCAAATTTTCTAGTTCCAGTAAGAAGGCGAGCCGCAGCATCCTTAACAAGTTGCAGCCTTCAAAGAGAGAAGGCTTGGAGACGACAGTAGAGAGAATTACAGTAATCTAACCTGGAGGTCACAAAAGCATGGATAAGTTTTTCCAGGTCCCTGTGTGGTATATAATGCTTAGCTTTAGAAATCTGGTGCAGTTGAAAAAAAAAAACAGATTTAACTACAGATGATACTTGCTTATCGAGCTTAAAGGAGTTATCCAAATAGACACCCAGGTTACGCATAGAATCAGAGGGAGAGTTAGCTTGGGGCCCCAGCAGGGCAACAAGCCGGTCTCGAAGAATATGGCTGTCGAACACCATAACTTCAGTTTTTTTCTCATTTAAAATGAGAGAATTTTCTGACAGCCAATCTTTAACCTCTCTCAGGCAATCGTACAGGGAGTTCAGTGATGCTGCCAAATCATCAGTCAGTTGACAATAGATTTGAATGTCATCAGCGTAAAAGTGATAAGAAATATTGTATTTTTCAAATATGGAGCCCAAGGGTAGCATATACAAAGAGAATAATAAAGGGCCCAATACAGACCCCTGGGGTACACCACAGCAGAGAGGGGCAACAGAGGAAGAGTTTCCTCCCATCACAACAGAGAAGGATCTATCTGTGAGGTAAGAATTAAACCAGTTAAGGGCAGAACCCTTGATGCCTACAACATGCTGTAGCCTCCTCAAGAGTATATTATGATCAACCATGTCAAAGGCTGAAGACAGATCCAATAAAACTAAGACGGCAGGGCGACCAGAGTCAGCAAATACAAGAAGATCATTATAGACTCTTAGCAGTTTCCGTTTCAGTGCTATGGTGTGGCTTAAATACTGGTATTTGTCAGTGATATTATTTGCAATTAAGTAAGCCTGTATTTGGAGAAAGACGGCTTTCTCTAAAATTTTTGATAAAAACGGAAGCTTCGAGATTGGCCTATAATTGGCAGGGTCTTTCTGATCAAGATTTTTAAGAACGGGGTGCACTACCGCATGTTTAAACGCAGTCGGGACACAGCCCACTAACAATGATAAATTAATTAAAAATAAGATGCAAGGCCCAATTTCCTCAAAACCTTCCCTGATAATTCGGGATGGAAGGATATCGTGCACAGAATTTGAGTTTCTCAGTTGTTCAATTATTCCGTTAAGAGTGGGGAGTGACAACAGCTCAAAGCGAGAAAAGGTGGACATGCATCCTAAAACCGGAACAGGATTCAGCACAAGAGAGTGAGAGTGTGAAGCCTTCAGTAATAAAACTTTTCCAGTAAAATGATTAAGAAATTGCTCACAGAGAGCCTGAGCTGAGCTCGAAGAGTCCGGACAGGGATTTATCACTGAATTAAAAATTTTTGAATAACGTTCGGGGGTTGTGGCAATTAGTCTCAATAATGTGTGATAGGAAAGCTGCTTTAGCTGCCTTACGGAGTTCTGGTAGAGAAAGCGGCTCCTACAAAGAATGTCATAGCATGTCTGAAGCCTGTCTTTTTTACACCTCCTTTCAGATTGACGGCAGGCACGACGTAAGGCTCGTATAGTGTCATTTAGCCATGGTTGATGAGAAGTTCTGGGACGTTTCATCTTTATAGGGGCCACAGTATCTAAGATGGAACAACAGGTGGATAGCATAGCGTTGGCAAAATCATCAACCAATGGAGGTGTGTAACAGTTTGTATCAGTGAAGTCTGGATCAAAAAAGGCAAAGTTTAGAAAGGCCGTAATGAAGTTAGCCACAGTCTCAGTGTTAATGATACGTACAGGGCAGTGACAGCCCTTAGAATTTAAATCAATTGCACATAGCTCAACATCAAACATGGCCAAAAAATGGTCAGAAATACCAGCATTATCAATGTCCATAGTACAAATATCCAAAGCATATGAGAGGACCAAATCCAAAGTATGACCTTTAAGATGAGTTGGTTCCCTGACCCACTGTGTAAGGTTAAAAGAGTCAATTAGGGCAAGAAAATCCTTGGCTAGGGGGTCATCAGCACAACAAATATGTATGTTAAAATCTCCAGTGATAAGAGCTTGGTCATAACTTAACAAAAATGAACCTAAGAAGTCAGCAAATTCGCAAATGAAATACCTATTATATTTAGGTGGTCGATAAATCACAGCACATAGAATTGTTGGGGGTCCAGCAAGCTCCAATAGTTGAACCTCAAAACTAGAATAGGTAGGAGAGGGCAGTTGCCGAACTTTAAGTTTGTTTTTAAAAACAGAGGCCACGTCTCCACCTCTTCCCGAGGGTCTCGGTGAACTGAAGAACACACAGTCCTGAGGTAATAGCTCCGAAAACGAAGAGAACTCACCAGGACGAATCCAAGTTTCAGTCAATAACAGAGCATCAAGCCGAGAGGTGAGGAAGAGGTCATTTAAAATAAAGGTTTTATTCACCAGCGATCTTGCGTTTTATAAAGCCATCCGAGAGATCGGCATCTTATCTCTGCTGGAAGGACGTCTTAGCTGGCTTAAATACCTGAGCCATACACCATCACTGGGGGACCCAATCCAAACACGAACAGGCAGAGAGACTACCGGAGAAACCGGACAGGCTTGTTTACCGACCGGACAGATCCAGCGATGGTTGAGCAGCCTGAAGGATGATGGATCCCAAGCGGAATGAAGTCGAATAATCCCCGTGGTAGTGAGGGAATTAGCTGCAGCTGATGTTTTAAGGTAAGCCTTTAAGCGAATCTGAAACCCACTCCGTTTGCCCCGCTTCCTATAGCGCTTCTTAGGCGGGGAGCAAAGAGGGGAACCGTATGAACCAGTGGAAGAGATGATACGTGGAAAGGTAGCATCTCCCAAATTCCAGCCTTGATCCAACCCAGCATAGGGTGGGGAAACAAAGATTTAACAGAGTATCCCGGTCATAGGTGATTAATGCATAACCATCTGGCGGGCATAGTGCCAGAAAGATAACAAATAAGGCAGTTGAGATGAATAATGTTAATTATTTCATAATGCACTGCAGCACCGACACAGGAAATATTTTAATTGTAAAATAAGTTGATATGTATTTCTTTTTTGGCACATTTGGTCCTCCATACTCCACACAGAATGTTTTTGGGATGTGTGCTGTAACAACAACAACAAGAACAACAACAATAATAATAATAATAATAATAATAATAATAATAATAATAGTAGTGGTAGTTAATTAAAACAGAAAACTTAAAAAATGAGACACATCTTCACTAAATAGGCCAAAAGTGTGCAAATGCTCAATATAGTCAATTATAACAAGACTTATTTTATTTAGTCAGACGTACCACATGCATAATAATATTAGCCTATAGAGTTACGAGTTGTTTTGCGCACAAACTGTGTGTATGAAGGCTATAAAGGCAAATCTCTGAGTTGCCTTCATAGCCTTCATTTGTAAATAATGTTATTTTTGAAATCACACAACGTGCACATGTATCCTCTGGTCTGTCCTGTGCGTTCGCATATCGTTTGATTGACAATCGCCTACAGCCAGTCAGGACGCAGAAAAAAAAGATCCACGAAACAGCAAGGCCGCGAAAAGTGAGAAGCGTTATAGCGAGGGACCACTGTACTGCACTGTTCTGCTGGTGATTTGCACAGCAACCCAATAATTTATATGCGCAAAGATGCGGACGTTTCGTTTCAATAATGAGCCGCAGTCTGCCTACAACAGCGCAAAGCGGGTTAAAAGCGAGCAGAGCGAGCATCCCACTAACAAACCTTATGTGTAAAAACAGGTTTTACTCGTTGAGCTGAAGAATCGGTGTCTGTTTATCAGGGTGAAGTGCTCTGTTGGAGGCTGATGGCGCTTTGTGGCCGTTTTACGACTACGGAGTGCCGCACTCCTGCCTGAAACAGCTGTTTTATTATATGTAACCCGAGATCTGTGTGTAACAGCGGGACTTCTGAACATCTGAATGTAGGACAACATACGATTCATGACTTTTGATCATGAATTGACCTCTTTTCATTAAGTTACTGTGCCAGGTGCGTGAGTGCGTTTTTTTTTTGGTAAACCCAAAACTAATGTGGGTTGGGCTTCCTGCTGAGCGTTTACTTCCACTTTCCTGAACTTCGTGGTGGACTGTTGCTGTTCGTCTTCGTGTGAATCTCCGTGTTAAGGTAACAGAAGCTGTCTGTGTTTGTTTTCTCTCTCTCGTTAACATCAGCTGTTTGTAGATTAGTTCCAGCACAAATCTGCCGCTTCACACGGACTCACAGATCAAAGTGTGAAGAAGGGCGAGGGCGAGTACACTTTTGCGTGTATATGTGTGTGCGCGTGCATGTACGTAGAATATGCCAACGAGAGCAGCAGCAGAGTTAGCTGATGGTCAGCAGCTGAACTCAGAGTCGTTGTTACTGTGGATCTACTTTATAATGACTGAATGCAGATTTTCCTGCCTCAATCAGTCTGTAGAGGAAACGGAGAGGAGCCGCTGCTCTCCCGCTCATTGACCCACTAAATGCGGCTGAGCTCGAGCAGAGAGCCGCTGGAGAGACTCTGAGGTCCGGGTGTTATTAACACTGCGGACGGAGAATGTACAGGGAGCCACAGCGGACTCTATATAGTCATTATTTACTGGGTATTTGGCTCAGATACAGATTAAACATCAAGACATAAGATTAAAAAATACTGCGTCACAAACTGTTGGCTCTGCTCCAACAGGAAGCCATTTTGACTTCTGCACAAAGGAAACATTTTACAACTTCAATCTGTCTCAGCAGCACAAAGTAGTTAAATACAGTCACACTTTTGATTTAAAGAAGTCACACAATGAAACATTTCAAACAATAAATATCGTTTTAACCCCTCCCCATAAGTATTAAAATACTTTAAAAATATAATTACTATTACAATAGAAAAGATATTGTACAATACTGCCATATTTATTTATACAGAAATAGTCTACTCACCAGTTACCTTGTATTCATACAACACAGATATAATTTGAGTCAAAGTGCAGATGTTACAAAAGTTGTTCTGTTTCTCCGTATTTCTGTCTTACAAAGGGGAAATTGAACAATTTATACTAAATAATATTTTCAATGTGTAGATATGGTACAAACAACACAATTTTAATTCTAATCTCACTACAGTAAATGTGGTCTGCAATTTGTGTGTTAACATCATAAGGAATGAAACGTGAGTAAAACAAAGTCGACACAGCTTTTGAAAATCTCCAAGCTGTTTAGAAAGAGATTTGTGAACTTCCAAGGTGCACTTGAATGCAACACATCGTCCATTTAAGCACCATTAACTTTTTCCTCTCTGAAATGTAGATGTGGTGAGCAGGGTCAGCAGCAGACCATGTGGCAACCAGCTTTGAAAAGATATTTAGCTATTCAAATGAATAAATAAATGAAATAATAAGGGTGATGCATATGTCCAACCACATAGGCACCATTTAGAGTGTGTATGAACACGCAGCAGGTGCCTCTGTACGGTTTCATACTAAGGTCGGAGTTTGCAGTGAGCTGACTGCATCACATTCAGAGCCTAATATTCTGTCCACGTCTTAGTTTTTTTAGGGCCCGAGCACTTTCAGTGCGAAGGCCCTATTGTATCTGCTCCGTTTCTTATTAGGGCCCGAGCACTGACAGTGCGAAGGCCCTATTGTATCTGCTCCGCTTATTATTATTATTATTATTATTATTATTATTATTATTTCGGCAAATGAATCGGCCTTTTGAGGGCCTAAACATGCTCAAAAACTCATGAAATTTTGCACACGCGTCAGGTCTGGTGAAAATTTACGTATTTTTATGTTCTCAGACATTGCCAGGGAAAATTGCCCCAGTAGCGCCACCTAGAAAAATAAAAAACGCGAGCCCCCGGTATGGGTATGACCTACATGTTTGAAAGTCGGTACACATATCTAATGTTCAGAGTCGAACAAAAAAGTCTGTTATGGCCATGTACTAAACCCAACAGGAAGTCCGCCATTTTGGATTGAAGGTCACATTTTGGCTCTGATTTTACAATTTCCATGCCTTGTACTTTCGCGAACTCCTCCTTGGGATTTGGTCATATAAGCTTCATATTTGGACAGTGCCAACTACACACCTGGGCCATGTTAAATTGCGGAGCTTTTGAGTTTTCACAATACGGTGAGGCCGTGGCGCCACGGCGAATTTCGATGACTCGCCATGAAATTCTTATTGCCTCTCATTCTATCATACATTGTCCGATCTGGACCAAAAAGGGCACACATGATAAGGCTCCACCTCTGAACATATTTCAACTGCCATATTTGACATCAAGGACAGCGCCACCTAGTGGGAACAGGAAATGTCATGTTTTACACTTTGGGAAACAGTATAGTGATGGGTGACATCTGCAGCCTCCAATTTCTCCAGGAAAGCCTTAAGGAGTCGGTCTTGGGTTACAATGAAAACTGTGACTTTTTGCGAAAGGGTGTGACCCCAGAAGCATGGCGAATATTGATGTCTCGCCATGAAGAAACAAAATAGTAGAACTCAATGAAATCCAGTCTGATCAGTACCAGACTTTACAGGCGTGATGTCAGACCTGACCTGAACACATTGATGTGCCCATTGTCAGAAATACGCAGAGCGCCACCTAGTGGCAACAGGAAATGTCATATCTTTCACTTTGTTGTACGGATTTTCACAGGTTCATCGTGGCCACCTCAAAAGCGGGGAATATCACCATCAGTCCCTCATAATGCTTCAGAGCAAAAATTGTAACTTTAAACTGAACGGCGCACCCTGGTGGCAATGCGGTTCACCATGAAAAATAAAGTGGCTTTTGAGGGGCTTGGAAAGTTTAAAAAGTCTTGAAATTTGGCCCACACCTCCAATGTGATGAACGCTTTGTTATTACGTAAACATTTGCTTTGAATAGCGCAAAATGGCTCCACAGCGCCCCCTACAAAATTTCAAAACAACAGCCCCTGCTCTGTGTTTCATCTATGAGTCTGAAACCTGGGAACCTTATGGAAGATATCAAGATGTACAAAAAAGTCTCTTGGAGTAATATCCCAAATCCAACAGGAAGTCAGCCATTTTACAATTAATGTGTAATTTTGGCGACATTTTCCCCTCCTTTCAGGCCTCATACTTTGACGAACTCCTCCAAGGGATTTCATCATATTTAACCATTCTCCAGTGTGTGGCATCTAAAGACGTTTGCGATGTTAAATTGCGAAGCTTTTCACGTTCAGGGAAACGGGGTGGTCATGGCGGCACGTGGAGTTTCAATCACTCGTCAAAAAGCAGTAATCTGCTGTCACTCAAAAACACAATGTCCAATCTCTCCCAAAGGTCGCAGGTGTGATTAGACTCGAGGTCGGAAATGTTTGTTATGCCATTTGTCAGTAATGGTTAGAGCGCCACCTAGTGGGACGACTATAACGATGACTGAATGAGATGAAATGTTAGCTGGTGTTTAAATGCATGAATTCCATCAATGTGACATGAGATCGGACGTGCTGGTTTTAGGTGTTGGGCGTGGCTCGACGTGCCAGGTTGCGAGGGCCCTCATAACGCTGCTTGCAGCTTTAATTATTATTATTTTGGCAAATGAATTGGCTTTTTGAGGGCCTAAACATACTCAAAAACTCATGAAATTTGGCACACGCGTCAGGTCTGGTGAAAATTTACGTATTTTCATGTCTTCAGACATGTCCAGGGAAAATTGGCTCAGTAGTGCCACCTAGAAAAATAAAAAACTCGAGCCCCCGAGATGGGTATGACCTACATGTATGAAAGTTGGCACCAATATCTATCATTAAGGGACGCACAAAAGTCTATTATGGCCATGTCCTAAACCGAACAGGAAGTCCGCCACATGTAAATGAAAGTGACATTTTGGCTCTAATTTTACCATTTCCATGCCTCGAACTTTTGCGAACTCCTCCTTGGGGTTTGATTTTACAACCTTCATATTTGGCCAGTGTCAACTACACACTTGTGCCGTGTTAAATTGGGAGCTTTTGAGTTTTCACAATACGGTGAGGCCGTGGCGCCGCGGCGAATTTCGATGACTCGCCATGAAAATCTTATTGCCTCTCATTCTGTCATACATTGTCCGATCTGGACCAAAGAGCACACATATGATAAGGCTCCACCCCTGAACATTTCTCAAATGCCATATTTAACATCAGGGAGAGCGCCACCTAGTGGGAACAGGAAATGCCATGTTTTACGCTTTAGCGTACAGTATAGTGATGGGTGACATCTGCAGCCTCAAATTTCTCCAGGAAAGCCTTAAGGAGTTGGTCTTGGGTTACAGTGAAAACTGAGTTTTCGCAAAAGGGTGTGACCCCAGCAGCATGGCGAACATTTATGTCTCGCCATGAGAAACAAATTAGTATGTCAGACGTAACCTGAACAGATTGATATGCCCATTGTCATAAATACACAGAGCGCCACCTAGTGGGAACAGGAAATGTCATGTCTTACACTTTGCTTTACTGATTTTCACAGGTTCATCATGGCCACCTCACAAGTGGTGAATATTATCATGAGTCCCTCATGATGCAGCTTTAATTGTGTTTTGTTATTGGAAGATTTTAAATCAGCAAGTGAGGTGATCTGATGTGGATCATGTGACCCTGTTTCTAGGTTATATGACAGGTCAGAGGTCAGCGACTGTAACTTAGTTACTTCTGTTAATGTGAATTGACTGAGTGCTTGTGGGTTATCTGTCAGGGACTTGGGTCTGAGCAACCCAGTGTCCATGAGCAGTTGTGACTCCTTTTATATGTTATGTGTTTGTTTCAGCGCTGTGCTGCTGTTCCTGTGTCTATGCTTGTGTTTATTGGCGTGGGTGCCGCTGGGGCAGGCATCTTCAGGCCTGGTGGGTGTGGCCCTGCCATGTGGCTGGCCACACCTTAAGATTGTCACACACCTGGAGCTGATCAAGCCTTGTCGGGGAGCTATTTAACAGTGTGGCTGAGCTCCTCGGTGCATGATTGTTGAGTTAGTGTGTGTAGTATTGTAATGTGCAGATAGTGTATGCCTGCTGGAGTAAGTGTTCTTACAGCTGCCTCTATTGTGTTTTCCCCAGGAGGACAGCAAGCACGGGGAGTGCAGAGACAAGGGAGTGGAGAGCACCAGCACGAACGTTTTGGGTGTAGACACGACACGGGAGTCGAGGGAGCTCACGGGGATTATTGTGTTTTTGTTATTTACTCCACTGTAAATAAAACGCACTGTTCATCACAAGAGTCCTGTGTTTGGGTCCTCGATCCCCACGGTCTGCCATGTAGACCGTGATATTACCTCTCAGACTGACAGAAGTCCACAAGAAGATGATGATGGAAGAAGAGGAGGACAGAGCAGAGTCTGCAGGATCCAGCTGGCTGTCTCTGAGGAGTGACTGGTCTAAACCTGAACCTCCCTACTTCAGTGGTGAACCTGGACCAACGAGGTCAGAGAGCTGAACTCACTCAGTAAACAGAAATAATTCTGCACTGACATTATAATTAGTGTTGATTCTGGTTGATTTTCTGACTGTGTTTGCGAGCTGAGAGGAAATGAAAATGAATTTGTAACAAAAATCAGTTTTGTCCAGTTTTCCTGTAAAAAGCTGAACTCTAATCTAAGAGGACTGTTACTGACAGGAAGCAGCTGCATTATCTGCAGTCTGTGTGATCCCAGCTGCTTCAATGACTTTATCAGAGAATTTATCATTGAATAAAACATGTTTGTGTCTGCAGAGGTCGGAGGTCACAGTCTGCAGGGTCCAGTTGTCCATCTTTGAGGAGTTACTGGTCCAAACATGAACCTCCATACTTCAGTGCTGAACCTGGACCAATGAGGTCAGAGACCTGTGATGACTCCTTTACATGTTTATGTTTTCCTGGATAAATATGACCTGAAACATCCTCAATTTTACAAAGATTTATTAAAAAGAAAACAATGAAAGAGAAAAGAGAAAAATCTTAGACAGTGATGCTCATATCTGTGGGGAAAGTCTGTACTGAGTGGTTCATGTTTGTCTTTAAAGAACAGAGCTGCTCTGTCTCTGATTCTCATGTCTTTGTGTCTAAACTGTGTCTGCTAGAAAGAGTGAAGAGCAGGAACAACACACGGCTCAAAGTCCAACACTAATGCACACATTCAGGAGAATTATTCATATATGTAGATCAGTTGGTTAAATGATCATTGTACATCATTTTGTCTGTCATGAGCCACCGTACCTGTGTTGCGTAATTCAGTATATGCAATTGTGCTTGAATGGATGAACTCTTCAGTGAAATAACATCTGGAGTGTTCACTGACTCATATTGCCATGAGACTTCTACAATATACTTGATTTATTAATTTTTTCAGATTAATGAAATCTCAAGCTTTGTTCTGAGCTTCTGCAGCATCATCCATCACCACTGATAGGAGTCGATGAAAAACAGACTGAAAATGCCTGATATTTTCAAAATCTGAGAGTTTAAACCTTGACAAAGTTTATACCGATTAAGTTATTTGAGCAGAAGCTACTTCTTTATCCTGTGCTTGAACTGATTCTTCATGGTTCCTCCACAGAGTGGACCAGCAGAGCTCAGAGGTTCCCAGTGGTCAGTCTGCCCAGCAGCATCAAACACAGCTGGACTCCATATTTATGGTCTGTACATGTACAGCAACTACTTTTACATCTATTCTGTTCACAGTCATCTCCATGCTGCTCTTTGTAGACCAGTGGATTGTCAGTGTGTCCAACATGGATCTGATGTTTGGCTCCATGATTTCAGTCTGATTGGCTCATTCATAAAGTATTCTGTTCCAGCTGCTGGAGGACAACATCATCACTTTTGTGAAGAACGAGCTGAAGAAGATCCAGAAGGTTCTGAGTCCAGATTACCCAGAATGCTTAGAGAGTCAGAGAGAGGATTATGAGCAGAGGAGGAGCAGAGAGGCATTTGTGAAGATCACACTGAACTTCCTGAGGAGAATGAAGCAGGAGGAGCTGGCTGACCGTCTGCAGAGCAGTAAGAGGATTTCTCTAAAGATTAAAGCTTTTGGATAAATGAAGATTTTCTAATGTGTTAACCCTTTAAGACCGGTCGGAGCGGGGACGTTCCGTTTTGCGTAACTATATTTAAATCCCTGTAGAACTGGAACCACGTAAGGTAGCCCAACAATTTTTTTTTTTTTTGCATATGAAACTGGAGGAGCTGTATTTACATCTTATGCCATCAGCTTGTCCTAAGTCACGGTTTCCTTCCACTTACAGCTTTGCAAAAATTGCATAAAAAGCACTTGCAGCAACAAATACATTATAATCCAGAAACACGCTTTGCCAATCCGATAAGCTGTTCGCAACACTTCCAAGGTTGAAATAGACATGAGCATGAACTATTGCATGTCCGCCATTACCTGCCCGAAAACGGAAGTGACGTCATTTTCACAGAAATTTAGTTTTTTACTTGTAGGCCTTATAAGCCTATACTGGTGTTGTTAAAAGTTATGTTTGACTTTATGACTTTCTGTATACTTTCTGGGATGCTTAGAACTCAAATTGCACTGCTTGAAACAGTTTATTTTGATGCACATGCTGTTTTTTTTGCAAATTTGCATTATACTATTATTATACTATTATTTTCGTTTTTCCTGCAGTATATAATAATTGGTGTATCTCAAAAACAAAGCTATTAAGACACTCCAAATAAATTTCCTGTGGTTGGAAACTCTTTTTTGCAAGTTTTTTGTATGTACAGTTTTGAGGAATAAACCTCTTTAATTTCTCTAACTAGAAATATATGCAATTTATGTAATTACTATGCACTTAATGCATACATATGATTAAAATTTGGGCTATAATGGTTTTATTGATGTATAGCAACTCGAAATGTTCCCAAAAATGGGACTACAGCATGTAAAAATATAAAGATAAGCTCTGGTGGACTTGGTTCTATGGTAGGTCGTAAAGGGTTAAGAGATGGAGCAACATGATTTAAAGATTCATTATTCTTGGAATTAAGTGTTTATTTCCACTTTCAAATTATATTCTACTTTTTTCTTCTCATTCAGAACTTCAAGCTGCTGTTTGTCATCGTAACCTTAAATCTGCTCTGAAGAAGAAGTTCCAGTGTGTGTTTGAGGGGATCGCTAAAGCAGGAAACCCAACCCTTCTGAATCAGATCTACACAGAGCTCTACATCACAGAGGGAGGGACTGCAGAGGTCAATGATGAACATGAGGTCAGACAGATTGAAACCGCATCCAGGAAACCAGACAGACCAGAAACAACAATCAGACAAGAAGACATCTTTAAAGCCTCACCTTACCTCACTTATGAACCAATCAGAACAGTGCTGACAAAGGGAGTGGCTGGCATTGGGAAAACAGTGCTAACACAGAAGTTCACCCTGGACTGGGCTGAAGACAAAGCCAACCAGGACATCCAGTTCATATTTCCATTCACTTTCAGAGAGCTGAATGTGCTGAAAGAGGAAAAGTTCAGCTTGGTGGAACTTGTTCATCACTTCTTTACTGAAACCAAAGAAGCAGGAATCTGCAGCTTTGAAGACTTCCAGGTTGTGTTCATCTTTGATGGTCTGGATGAGTGTCGACTTCCTCTGGACTTCCACAAAACTACAATCCTAACTGACCCTAGAATGTCCACCTCAGTGGATGTGCTGCTGACAAACCTTATCAGGGGGAAACTGCTTCCCTCTGCTCACCTCTGGATAACCACACGACCTGCAGCAGCCAATCAGATCCCTCCTTACTGTGTTGACATGGCGACAGAGGTCAGAGGGTTCACTGACCCACAGAAGGAGGAGTACTTCAGGAAGAGATTCAGAGATGAGGAGCAGGCCAGCTGGATCATCTCCCACATCAAGACATCACGAAGCCTCCACATCATGTGCCACATCCCCGTCTTCTGCTGGATCACTGCTACAGTTCTGGAGGATGTGCTGGAAACCAGAGAGGGAGGAGAGCTGCCCAAGACCCTGACTGAGATGTACATCCACTTCATGGTGGTTCAGGCCAAAGTGAAGAATATCAAGTATGATGGAGGAGCTGAGACAGATCCACACTGGAGTCCAGAGAGCAGGAAGATGATTGAGTCTCTGGGAAAACTGGCTTTTGATCAGCTGCAGAAAGGAAACCTGATCTTCTATGAATCAGACCTGACAGAGTGTGGCATCGATATCAGAGCAGCCTCAGTGTACTCAGGAGTGTTCACACAGATCTTTAAAGAGGAGAGAGGACTGTACCAGGACAAGGTGTTCTGCTTCATCCATCTGAGTGTTCAGGAGTTTCTGGCTGCTCTTCATGTCCATCTGACCTTCATCAACTCTGGACTCAATCTGCTGGAAGAACAAAAAACAACCTTTAGGCTGTCTAGCTTTTTTGGAAAAAAAGAGTCTCTCTACCAGAATGCTGTGAACAAGGCCTTACAGAGTCGAAATGGACACCTGGACTTGTTCCTCCGCTTCCTCCTGGGTCTTTCACTGCAGAGTAATCAGACTCTCCTACGAGGTCTGCTGACACAGACAGGAAGTAGCTCACAGACCAATCAGGAAACAATCCAGTACATCAAGGAGAAGCTCAGTGAGAATCTGTCTGCAGAGAAAAGCATCAATTTGTTCCACTGTCTGAATGAACTGAATGATCATTCTCTAGTGGAGGAGATCCAACAGTCCCTGAGATCAGGAAGTCTCTCCACAGATAAACTGTCTCCTGCTCAGTGGTCAGCTCTGGTCTTCATCTTACTGTCATCAGAAAAAGATATGGATGTGTTTGACCTGAAGAAATACTCTGCTTCAGAGGAGGCTCTTCTGAGGCTGCTGCCAGTAGTCAAAGCCTCCAACAAAGTTCTGTAAGTACATTTGTACTCATGTCTTTACTTTTAACATCCAATTGTGTCAGTAATTTATTTAACCAGGCTTTGTATGAATTTGTATATAAAGTTTTGGAACTGTAACCTCTTTGATGGCTTAAGAACTCGGTGTACTTGAGATGCTGAATCCATCATAAACTATGATCATCACTGCTGCTGTTATGTTATCAGCCTTTGTTTAAAAACTGGGGCTGCATGTGCTTGATGTTATAATACTTTATATTCACATGCATGCTCCTAGATACATTTCTACTGCAGGTCTATTTTTAGTCACAAATGTTGGTGAAACACTATTCTACATGCGTGGTGGCTCATGCATTAAACAAAGCATTTGAATTACTCAGTGAATCACTGCAGCCATAGAAACATCCTTAGTTACACTTTTTAAGCTTAGATTTCTGGGCGCTCCCCAGGATGTGCTGAGTGTTACTTCTTCACCCACCTCTCTCCACTTTCCATGTGTTCATGCTCCGCTGTTAAATTGAATTGATGACTAAACTCTGCCTTGGTCTTCCAGTGTGTTTTTTGTTTCTTTGATGTTTTTGGCTTGCTCTCTCCCCTCACTCCAAACTGGTTGCAACAGATGTTTGTCCCTCACAGAACCTGCTTTTCTTCCAATTTTTCTTTCACAATGTTGCCAAATTGTTGGTACAGCCTTTGAAGATGAACTGAGGTGCTGCACCAATCTGAAACCCGCTGTTTTAGCTGCTTCCCCTTTAAGCACACCTTCCCTGGTCATCTCTGCTGTGGTTGCTATAAAATTTAATCTTTCCCCTTGTTGGCTGAAATTATGTTTCTGCTAGATTTAGTTTGTTTTCATGTCTTCTGAATCAGAAGGTGGAGCAGGTGGAGCTTATAAGGAGTAAGTGCTGATGTAGAAGGACAGTTGTTTTAATTAGGCTATTTAGTTAACCATGAATTGTTTTGCATGCTGGCTTTTAAAAAATGTTTCCTTTGACTGATTTAATTAATTTGTTTATTTCTTTTTTCAGACTGAGTCGCTGTAACCTCTCAGAGAAAAGCTGTGATGCTCTGTCCTCAGTTCTCAACTCCCACTCCTCTTGTCTGAAAGATGTGGACCTGAGTTACAATAACCTGCAGGATTCAGGAGTGAGGTTTCTGTCTGTTGGACTGCAGAGTCCATATTGTACACTGGACACTCTCAGGTCAGGATCCCAATGTTCCCACTGCTGTTCATTAAAAGTCTGAATGATATTATTCTATAAACCACCGAGCTTTTTAGAATTGGAAAGTGACCTTTCCTTTGCCTTTTGGTGGCCTAGGAGAGTCTCTATTACTGTCTGAAGATTGTTTTTACAGTCACATATTTAGCTTAATTGGTAAAACAGAAGTATTGTTCAGTTCATGTTTTCTGTGGCATGTTTTGTTTGACACTCTGATGAGCAGGCCATTTGTTCCACAGCAGTCATTTTAGCCAACAAGAGAACTGCTGCTGTTAGTTTTTCTGCTCACGGTGTCACTGATTCCCAACTGATTCAGACAATAATGATGTGGGTTCTGATTTGTGACGTTGATAGTGAGGACAGCCAGGCAGTCAGAGATGGGTTGGAAGGCCAGAATGATATTCAAAGCCTGAGTATCAACCATGAAACCAACTTCTCATTTCTTACTCCCAGAGGGAAAAAGAGTCTGTATCCCAACAATGCCAGATGTGTTCAGAATTATACTGCTAGGTACACAGATACATCATTCAGATTTTGCTACAATACAAAGATTGAATTTGAGGAGTATCTATGTGGTTTCTTGCCAAGTTTCCTGGTTCTGGTCACTTCAGTGGGGTTGTCACTTTCCTCATTTCATGTACGGGAAGAAAACGGTGTCCAAGCTACATGGTATAGCGTCTACTGGGCATTAATTACAATGCATATTCAATAGTATTTAATAATCTACATGTCCATATTTTAGAAAACTCATGATTTAAATTTCTTTCAGTCATAATGTTTACCTGTGTAGAGAGAGATTGATTCCTAGCTTGTTTTGTTTTTCCATTTGTATTAAATTATTGGTAATTTTACAACACATATTTTTAAATTCTGATTCCGTAAAATTACATTTGATCCTTTGAGAATTCCTCTTCACATCTGCAGGACTTCCATCACTAAAAACTCCAGTTTCCTGTCTGTTGGTTTTTACAGGGCATTTTGTTCATATATCAGACTCTGCTTTATGTTATTTTGTTGTTCAGATTTATCAAGAGGTCAGATTTAGCGTTGCCAGCTGAAAAAAAAAACTCAACAAAAAAACAGAAATAAACAAAACTGGGCAGCTCTTCTTGTGTTGCAAGGAGAGAATTAATGTCCCAGAAGTTTTTACAAAAACAACACTTCTCAATAAAACAATGTATATATCAAGAGGTCAGTTAAATAGAACAACATAAAAAGGCTTAATAAATCCAAAATCTAAATCTAATAAAATAAGGTAACATTTTATTTGTCTGTCCTTGTAGCAGCAGAAGTGAAACAGATAAAGGTCTCTCCTGTCTGCCCAAATACTGGTCCAGGTTATTCATTTATCATCATAGCCAGTCCCCATGGTGTAGCCCAGTCTGTAAGTTACTATGGCTAATGAATAAATAGTTTTACATGTTTCAAAAGCTAAAAATAGTTTATTTCTGGCACTTGAAAGCATCTCTCCCACTGAGTATCACACTGTCAGTCTGAACTTTGTTTATTATTGTTGCTGAATTTTCTGACTAATCAGAGAACTGTGGGGGCGGGATGTGAAGACCTTGTAGTACAGCAAACATTCAGAGTGATAACCGTTAAAATACTGAAGGATAAGGGCCTGTTACCATGGTGACTGCAAAGCCACACCTCTCTTTATTTGGCTGAAATCCAGTACTTCGACTCAGGTTTCTTCTTCTGTAGGAGATATATCATATATCTCTATACCTTCAATCCAGCTCATCCTTTCCCCTCTCCCACTCTAATAAAGTTACAACCAGTGGTCACCTCCTTAAAGCAGGATGTCTGGAGATCTTAAAGTCTAAAATGTCCACTATGAAGATGCAATCAAATCTGGGCCCCACTTGTGATAACATTTCACATGCTCTCACTACACTAAAGTGAGAAAGTGATATTACTTTTACTAATATGATATGATTAAAATAATACATCAGAAAAGAAATCCACCACCCCTTTTTGATTCAACATTTAAGAATTAAAAATAATTAAGTATCTAAAAAAACATATGGAGATTTCTTTTCTAATTAATGAACATAACATTAACACCATTGTGTACTCAAAAGAATCCACAATGTGCATCTATCCTATACCCAGAAGGAAAAAACAATTTTACAATGTTACACTTGTTCATCTTCATTCTCCTCTCTTCGTAGGAGTCTCCACCCTTTTCAAAGATGACAGTTATGACATAAAAGAAAATAAAATATGAGATCATATACAGAAATGAAACAGCATTAGTTGTTCATCTGCAAAAGAAAACTTCAACCTTAGTTACATCAAGTTGTTCATTTGTGGGAACCTGTTGTTAAGATAAGAACGTTCTTCACTGTCAGACATATTTCTTCACTTTATCATTAAAACCATCCACCCATGTTTCCCAATTTATTGACAGTTTCGTAAAAGAACCCTCATCCCCAGTGTTATTAGGTATTGAGTCATCTAAGTGACTCATCCAAGTGACTTCTGAAGAAGTATGTGAAAAGGGACAGACCATCTCTGAATCGAGGAGGGGGCCCAAGGGTACATCTTTCATCGTATTACAATGCTGTGATTGCAGCCATTCCCCAACTCTGTGAATGGTACAATGAAAAAAAAAAGTTCTTTCAATTTACTTGATTTTATTGTGTACATCGGTCCCACATAATATGAATAAGTATGACTGACTTAATTTTCCACTTTCCCTCAAGTAATTAATTTTTGTCAAATCAAAGTACTTTATGTACATCAGATTACTTTAAAAAAAAAATCATGTTTGATGTACTAATATTAATCTGTTACCATAATATCAATGTATTGCATAATTGCAATATATTTTAATGTTTAACACCAACTTATTTTTGATTGCCAGTGGTACTCAATGATATTGTGTAATGTAAACACATTGCAATTATGTTCCTGCAACACAAATTATGGCTTTAGATCCTACTTAATTTTTTCAATTGAAATATTAACTGATCATTATTGACAAAAAAGGCAAAGACTGTGAGTGCTGCTGAACAATTCTCCTTTATTAAACTGTAACAGCAGTGAAAGCAGAAAGCTGCCATGAACAAGTCCAAAATCACATCCATAAAAAACTTGTTAGCACATTTTTAAAGATAGCCTGCAGAAATAACTAAAAGAATAATTTAAAACATTTGCAAATATTTCACAAAAATCTGAACTTAGCAGCAAATAAAAGAAAGTGCTTATAGATGATCCTGTCATCTCTTACATATAACATTTGTATTAATTACACAATTGAAAATTTAAACTAAATTAAGACTACCTGAAAAAAAGCAACACGCTTTTATGAATAAACAGATTTACACAAATATAACTTGTGTATTATTTGACAACAATTTCAGCTTCTGTACAAGTATTTACCTGTAAAAGATTTCAACTAAGTTGAGCCTTAAATGACATTGTTACATAACTAATACCAAACACCTACATGAATTTTTATCTTCCTTTTAAACATGTAAGCAGGACATGTGTCTAACCGTTTTTCCCCACTCGGTGACACACCCGCTGGGGGTCAAACTCTGGTAATTGGTGATTCTGTTCTCAGACATGT